ATCCAGACGTTCAACTCAACCGCTCCACACACAACATTCAGCAGATCAGAAGCACTGCATGGGACTTGAAAACTTCCATTAAAACATCTCTCCCAATCCCACCCCAGCACCCCCCTGTTACACCCTTGTTATTCCACACCAAAGCCAGACTGCAGCCAAACTTCCTTGTGAAATGATTCCAATCCTGAAATATCACCATTTTCTTCACAAACCCTGGAAACTTGGACCAAGCTTCAAACACAGTATAAATAAGTTAAGCAATGGGAATATGTAAACTATGCATAATTCTCGAGCGCAGGGGGAGAATAATTATAGCAACAACAAATCAAATATGAAACGAGTGGGGAGACATGAAGAGACACCCAGAGAGAACGTACTGAATTAAGGAAGCGGGGTCCGCAGAGTCTATGAAGCCAGATCAGCCATGGGCCATCATCACTGTTGGTTTCTAAGTGCCCATTTAAATCATGGAATGGTTTGGGTTGGAAAGGACCTTAAAGCTCATCCAGTTCCAACCCCTGCCACGGGCAGGGACCCCTTCCACTAGAGCAGCTTGCTCCAAGCCCCTGTGTCCAACCTGGCCTTGAACACTGCCAGGGATGGGGCAGCCACAGCTTCTCTGGGCACCCTGTGCCAGCGCCTCAGCACCCTCACAGGGAAAAGCTTCTGCCCTAGATCTAACCTGAGCTAGATCACTAAACACATGGAAACCAGCAGCTTTTGAGGAATACAATCCATTGGAAAAGTATTTTTGGACAAAGCCAAAGCCGACTGTTCTGGATGCCAGTCAGCAGAATGCCTTTTCAGAAGCAATGTTCCTGAGCAGCTGAATCAGTAGTTGGGAAGCAATTTTTGGGGGAAGAAAAAAAGATGAAGAGTGTAAGAAAACTCCTTTCAGCATTCATATTCAAACTAAGGATCTGCAATTGAAAGAAAAACTGCTCCAAGACCATTATGGTTATGATTTTAATAGGAGTCCCAGAATACAATGGGAAAGTGGGAATATGGAATAGCACACAAGGAGTAAGAATCTGAATTATTCACTTAACTTCCCAGTTTGGAAATGTTTTAAATGCTGAAAATAGGGAGTGGTGGGATGATACATTCCATGAGGAAAACGCTGAAGCTTTTACTCATCTTCAGGAGCATCTTACCCCATGAACAGCTTCAGAGGAGTCAGCAGGCCCCTGTTAGTCTACAACGTGACGGAGTGACCTGCTACTCCACTGCTGGGCGTAGTATTTCAGTGAACTACATGTTCTTAAAGCAATTATGTGAAAGTTCTGATCATCTGCTAAATAAATCAAGCAAGTCAGGCTGTGGCTATGCTCTCAGTGGTGTCTTTAATAATTCCATAAATCCCAGAATCCTAGGAGCTACCAAGCTTTAGAGAAATGCAGAATGGACATTACTTCATCTCCCATCTCCATAAATCAGCAAGTCCACTCACTGAAGATGAGCAAGCCAGCAATATATAGGATACAACATGTTTCTGTGATAGAGGCTTTGGGGTGGGGGCAATCAGGGCAACCACCTCTACTTCTTCCTCTGCCCATCTCTGTGTGTCAGCCCAGGTCAAAACCAAAGCAGAATAAAGATGAATGGACAAACCAAGGTGAAAAACTACTGCACTGGAGAGGAAACTATACAAGTTCCTATCCCATATCCAGCAGGCGCAGGCGAGGATACGAGCTGAGGCTCCTGTACATCACACAGTCTGCATCTCTGGCAAACACAGATACTTCAGTCCTTGACTAAATCCCTTCCTCGCCTCTTCATCTACTTACAGTTCCCAGAAGCACATGTAGATCTAAAAGCTTATCTATCAGATGACAACTTGAAACAAATACAAATAAGACTTAAATGAAGGCAAATATCCAAGTTACAGGGAACATAAGGGTTCCTTAATTTTACATTTGGAGAGGAAAAAAAACCCCTCAATACTATGTGGCCATACTCCAACTTATTTTTTTAACGTTATTAACAGAAATAGCACCCGAGGCTCTGCTCAAGCAGAAAAAGTGTGAATCTGTTTGCAAATGTGAAGCGAGAGGGGGAACAAAAATACCATCTTATTAAATGGTATTTGTTTGGTGCTAAGCCCATTATTTATTCAATTGAGAAGCTCAGGAAATGACAGAGAGGGAGCAGCAAGTAAGGTCACTACTTACTGTCAGTATCAAAGCTGATCCTTAACAGAATTTAAGCACCTGCCTTTTCTTTTATCTCAGCATCTTCTTTTCCCTTTTCTTTCTTACACTTCCAAAGCTGTGTAACACAACACACACACAGCAAGCACGAAGGAACAGGGAGCGTGCCGGCATCTTTCAGCAATCATCTTCTCCCTTGTCATCCATTATGTCAGATTTCTCTATTTTTGCTTAATTCCTGCTCCTGCTTCCTCTCTCCAGACTCTCAGGCTGGTTGGGCTTGAACTCAATATGGCTACTTAAAATAGTTGAGGAATACTGAGAATATTTGAAGCCATGCTTGTAAATCACTGCCTGTTCATCAACCCATCCTCCAGCTCCTGTGACTCCCCTCAGGAAAGGGTCAGTCTCTGACTTCTTCACCTCAGAAATTCTGCTCATTGTAAATATCATATAACAAACTACAAACAGACTTTCTTTATGGGATCATTCTTCCCTGAAGGCTTAGATCCTGTACTTATTGCAAATCTTACCCTCTGTTCTGATGGTTGCTCTTGATCCGAACCTTCCTGTGCTAAAACATCACCAGTTAATTTGCTTCTTTCATTCTCTTGCTGCTGCTTTTTCCCTCCCTGAGTTTTCAGACCCTCTGGATTGGCTTTCCAGGACCTGAATGCTCCCCTTACATCCTCCACTCCCCAGGCTGCTGGCTGCCAGAGCCTGCTCTCACCACCAATATGCTTCGACAGCATCTTTCCCACTGCTTTCTGCATTTACTTCAACGAAAGGACTCCAACAAGTTCAAATTCTTTAGGTGGAAAAAAGTCACGAGCAGAAATACACGCGCTGAAGGGGAAAAGCAGCTGCCATCGCTGTTCCCTTACTGCCTACTCCGCTCCGCTCGCTGAATCCTCCCCGTTGGCTGCTGCAGCAGATGAAGTTTCTCCGGCACGCACACACACACAGAACCACGGAGCCTGGCAGGATTTATTCAATCACAAAGTCATCGCCAGCACAAATGACATCACTCGAGAAGCCAACCTCATCCCCGTGCAACAAAGAGCAGGGTTTGTGCAACACGCAGCTAAGGGAGCATTGCTGCAAAGAAAAGTTTGCCGAATCAACTTGTGTTTTCTCGGTGTGGCACAAGGAAACGCAGGGCTGCGGTAAGAAGCGACTGGAATGAATGAACACTGACCTAACCCAACCTGCGCTTGGGATCTGCCCTAAAACTGGTACCGAGCAGCGGGAGGCGATGCGGGAGGAGGATGGAGGATGTCCGTAAGCCCTCGCAGGTGCTGCTGTGGAAGCTCACGCTCTGCACAACCAACAGCATCTCAAGTACTCTGCTCAGTAAAAGGGCTGCAAAGAGGGAACTGGAGCTCCGCAGCTCTCCCGCAAACACATGGCTGGGGGGGGATCAAAGCGCCCCGTGGTTACGGACACCTCTGGCGAGCAGACACTTTTCTTGGGAAGGAATTACACAAAGGATCCGCACGCACCGCGACCGCAACCCCCCCCCCGCTTCCTGAAGGCACTTCTCTGTCGCGACTGATGAGGTATTCTCGCGACTCCCGCTGTGTATTCGCTACCGGGGGGCAGGCATTGGCAGTGTGGGGGGTGCAGAGGGGCCCGGCCAGGCTCCCCCCGGCCCCTCACAAGGACGACCACAGGCTGGAGGGGGGGGGGGTAACACCGGACTGAGCGGAAGAGCTACCCCGGGGGTGGGGGAGGGGGTGAACTCCGGGAAGCGCTGTCGCGACAGGAGGTGTGGGGGTCACGACAGCGGCGAGCACCTCACGCTGTGGGGGGAGGGGACACCGGGGAAGGACAATGGGGGGTGGGAGGGGGGGGGGGGGGGTTGGGCCGCGAAGGTCCCGCTACCCCGGTGAGGAGGCGGCGGCCGCTCCCGTCCCGCCGCAGCCCGGACTTACTCTCGGTGCCCCTGCCCGGGCCTCATGGCGCCGCCGCCGCTGTGCCCGTGCCGGCCCCGCCGCTCGCCGCCGCCGCCGCCCGCTCTCGCCGTGGTGGCTGCGCCAGCCGCTCCCGCGCACGCGCGCCGCCCGCCAACGGACCCGCCGGGCCCGCCCCCTTGCGCATGCGCAGGGAGGGATAAAGGGGGGCGAAGCGCCGCGGCGTGTCGCCCCCTGGCGGTGGTGGGAGGCAAAGTCAATTAAACCCCGCGAGCGCAAGGGTTAATGAGCCCTGCCGTCAAGCTCATTAACCACGGAGCTCACCTCTTCTCTTCCTACACCTCCATCACCCCCAGGACCAGCCACTGCTCCGGGTGCCCTGCTCCTGCCTGGAAGAAGGCTCCACGTGCCTCATCCCAGCTCATCCCGACCTCCCCATGGCTTTCCCTTCATATTCCCACCCACCAAGACACCTCCAACCTCTCCTTGCCCACTTACCCTCCGCCGAGGTGCAACCTGCAGGAAATGGGATCGAAGCTAAACTGGGAATAAAGGAGGAGGAAAAAAAAACCTAAGAGCAGCCTGGAGTTAGCAGGAACAAAGCCTAGGGAAGGCGATGGCTGCAAGGTCTGGGTGATGGGGAGGAAGAACGGCGACGGGAACAATCAGTTGTGCTGTGACCTCACTTTATTGCAAGGCAAATACAGAAGCTGGACAGCAGCATTTCAGAGAGCCCAGTGTCCCAGAGGCAAGGCAGCCCCTCACGGGAGGCTTTTCCACCCAGCTCGTGGATGATCCATGAGGCATCCCTATCAGTGGAATATCCGCCAGCAGCTCCCAATTTCCATTTTCCCAATGCTGCTAAACCATCTCCCTGATCTTATGCTGGTGGGTGCAGGATTTGCTCAACAGGTTCCAGCAGGAGCAGAAATCCCAGATCTCCTCACTGCTGGGGCAGCAGCCTGGGCTCTCCTCACTCAGCGACGTTGATGTATAACAGGACATGGGGACTGGCCTGCATTTCTGGCTCCAAACACCTGAGCACAGCCTCATGTGGAGAGGAAACTCAAGCCTCCGACCACCAGATCCACGTGCAGCTCAGGAGGGTGCTGGGCTCCACCGTCCTCTGTGCCAAGGGCTCCATAGAGTGGCAGGTCTGAAGGCTTTGTTTCAGTTTGGGCCATTCCCGCAGAGAATAACACATCCTACTTCAGGCCTCAACCCTGATGCCATCACTCTCTGCTTCTGGACTGAACAAAGGCGCCAAGAGACCCGTGGGGGAAAACGGGACTGGTTTCTCTGCACAAACAGAGAGCTCAAGTCTGTTAAAACATGGGCAAAGAGCTCAACTCTTCACCTCCACCTTGAGCTTCAAGCGGACATCACACAGGAAAGCGTTCATCAGGTCCTGGCCAGCCTCCTGAGCAATCCTGCTGATGACCTTCCCTCCTTTCCCGATCAGCATCATCTGGATTGAAACCCAAAGAGAAGCTCACCATGCTCACCCTGATGCTGCTTAACAGCAGGAAGGAACTGCCCCAACAACACAACAGGGGATACAACAGTGATAGAAATCCGAAGATCAAACCATGGGCAACCCCAGAAAGGCATAAGCATGAGCAGCCTGTGCCAGGCTGAAAGCCCACAGCTGAGGAGAGGGGATCACAGCGAGGATGCACACACGCTGCAAAGGAACCTCATTTCACACTCCCCAGCACCCATCTGTCTTCTGTCACTCACCATATGAGACTTCCTTGGGACCACGAGGTTCTGCACAATGAGGAGCTCCCCACACTCTCCTTCCTCCCACATCTCTGTCACCTGCAATATCAAGTGAGCACTCAGCACGTCCACAAAGCTCCTCAGCAACCACAAATGCTGCTCCCTCAGAGGGCAGCTCGGCTCCCCAACCCCTTTCAACGCACATCAGGCGCTGTGAGACTGATTGTGTCAGTTCCAAGTTACCCCATGGGGGCTGTGAAAAGTCTGGCACATCTATCTCACAGCTTCAAATAAAGGGATTCTCATCCCACACTCAAAGGCAAGTCTGCTTCTGCATGCTTCCCACCTGAGTCACACCATAGGGCACTTCCAGTGGCAGGTACTCCAGTATCTTCTCCCTGATGATATTGGTACAGACCTCCTGAGGTGACTGGCTGGTCAAGACCCCGCTGTGAAACTCCCAAGGGCCTGGCTTGGCTTGCAGGAGGAGGTACCGCTGTCACACAAAACACACAGCACATCATCAGATGTCATGTACCGCTCACATGGCGCCACCTACCCGGGTCCCCATCCTGCTGTGAGTCACTACGAGGATGCTGCTGCTGGTCAGGCCTCAGAGCATAGAATCATGGGATGGGTTGGGCTGAAGGGACCTTAAAGCTCATCCAGCTCCAACCCCTGCCATGGGCAGGGACCCCTTCCACTAGAGCACCTTGCTCCAAGCCCCTGTGTCCAACCTGGCCTTGAACACTGCCAGGGATGGGGCAGCCACAGCTTCTCTGGGCACCCTGTGCCAGCGCCTCAGCACCCTCATAGGGAAAAGCTTCTGCCTAAGAGCTCAGCTCAGTCTCCCCTCTGGCAGGTTAAAGCCATTCCCCTTGGCCTGTCCCTACATCCCTTGTCCAAAGCCCCTCTCCAGGTTTCCTGGAGCCCCTTTAGGCACTGGAGCTGCTCTAAGGTCTCCCCTTCAGGAGCCTTCTCTTCTCCTGGTAGTTTAGTACCTGTGGCCGGGAAAGGAGAAAGGGAAGCATCTGCAACTGAAACCCTACCAAAGGGTCACACCTCCCCAGAGCCATTTGTACGAGTTATAAAAGCCCACAGTATCTTTTGTAGCTCAAAGATAACGCATTAGGTGGCCTCATCTTTATGAGCAAGATGCTGTTTGGAGAGCCCCAAATAAGAGTCCTGTACAGAGAACTCTGGAGGTACAGCACGGACATACTGCACGTTGACAACACTTCCCCCAGATCCCAGGCTGAGAACAGCAGCTCTGCTACTTCGCCCCAGGACATGAAGCTCAGCAGGAAGTACTGGAGTCTCACAGGGGTAAGAGCACACCAGTCTCCAGCTCAGACTGCAGTTACCTTGAGTGTATCCACCTCCTCCCCACGGAGAGCTGCCAGCATGAAAATTTCCTGGAAGCCCGGCCAACCTTTCCTGTCTTTCAGCTCTTTGGGTCCATTTCCAGTCGGCCGCTGTGCTTCTCGTGTGACAACGCTGGACTCTGAAGCCTTCACACCACTGTGGTTTTCCAAGCCAGAGCCACCTTGGGCTCGATTTGGGCTTGACTCGGGGGCCCTGCTCTCACATGGTGAAGCCTGAGTGATCTGAAGAGGAGACTTTGCGGAAGAACTGGAATCCTGTTCAAGCGCAGCTCTCACTTCCAGTTTCTTTCCATTCACAATTCCCTCCGTCAGCTCATTGACCAGCTCCAGCAGCAGGAACTTCTTCTTTAGCAGATCCACCTAAAGGGAGGGAGGGAGGCATCAGGAATTCGTCCTAAATGAGGCTGGCAGCGGGGCCCTGGATCCGAAGGAGCCAGAGGAAACCGCGCAGGGGAGGAAGCTGCTGCAGGAGAAGCCTTCTGCAGTAGAAGTGGACAGAAGCACACCCAGCCACAGTGACCTGGACTCACATCACTGCTGATGGTGCTGTCTAAAGACACCAGCGTAAAACACTGTAGAAGGCAGAAGCTCCTCATTTACCTTGTTCAGAACGAGGACACTGGGGACCTGGGGAAACTTGGACAGGCACTTCAGCACCTCCTTGCTCAGGGAGTTCCGTGTCCAGTGATCAGACACATCCACCAAAACCAGAACTGACAGGAAAGAGGGAAGGAGATAAAAAAAACCTGCACTATCCAATACGTTCTCTACAGTTTATGCTGCCCTCCTGCTGCCACTTCTCCCTCTTCTAAAGAGTACCACGCAGATGGAACCATAAAGGAGAATTCTAACCGACAGAACTATAAAGTGCTGTTTATCCCTGCCATCCAAACAACATCACACGTGCTAAAACTTAACATCTAAACCCAATTATTAACCCAGACTGCTCCCCCTTGGCACCAGGCAATTCTTATCCACTCCTGAGCTCAGTATTAAGTCTTTTCACCACCCTTCCGTCCTATTTCATGCTCCTAGGGCTGCCTTTTCTGCCCAGTGAACATCCAGGTATCACAGCCATGGGGCTGTGAACATCTGTGGCAGATAAAGGGCTTGGCTTGACCCAAGAGGAGCTGAGCACCCACCTAAGTCTGCGTGTTTCATGCTGTCCCATGGGTCTGTCAGCATGGCTGCATCCAATTTATGTCTGAAACACAGATGCAAAGGAGTAAGCCAGACACAGGGGATCACAGTCGTCTTCCTTCCCCTCAAAGGGGCAGGGAAAACAGTCCTTTCCATCATCCCAGCTGACACGAGGCTGCCCTAAGGGCTGTGACATCCCCTGTTACACACACACGGGCAGAATCAAACACAACAGGGCTCAAGGGACACCACTGAAACTGCAACAACAAAAAACCCAGAGACCAAAATAAGGCTAAAACCCGCATTCCAGTCACTCCCGGTGTCCATCACTCTGGTTTTATCACACCTCAATGGACAGGACCCCCCTTCTCTCCCCACACCACCAGTGATGATACCTTTTGACTTTAAAGGGATTAGTGAGGCCAGGTGTGTCCAGAATGACCTAGAAAGACAAATCTTGTAAGTTTACCTGCAGCCTGTGACCAAGCCCAACTTATTTGTGCAATCAGAAGGATATAAAGGGAATGTACGATAGAAATTATGGAATATAAATAGAGAAGTACATATGGGTGTAAACAGGACCCCCCCCCCCACTTCTAAGGCTTCCCAGCGCCGCAGCCCAAGCAGGGCAGCTCACCAGCTGAGTGTCCTCGTGGGTGACAACGCCGCGGGCCTTGCATCGCGTTGTGTGCACTTTCTTGGAGACAGGGAAGACCTGCAGCAAACCAAACCAAACCAACCCAACCCATCGGACACGCGGGACTCGCACCAAAGAGAGGGCCTGAACGCCCTGAGCCCGCTGCTGCGCCCCGGCCTCACCTTCCTGCCCAAGAGCTGATTGCACAGCGTGGACTTGCCCGCGTTGGGCGCCCCGATGATGGCGATTCGGAGCACCTTGGGGTTGCGGGGCTGGTCGGGCCGACCCCGCAGAAGCCGCTCCTGCTCCTCTATGGGGGGGCGGAAAAGAGGAGTTTGAACGCTGTTAACCCCCACCGAGAGAGAACCGGCATCACCAGTGGGACCGGGACCGCTCACCTCTGCTGGTGGCAAGGGGCGGCGGGTGCTGGCCCAGCGCTCCGGACGGCTTCTCCGAGGGGACCCCCAGGATGCTGCCCAGCGCCGAGCTGCTCCCGCTGCAGCGGGCGGGCCGCGGAACACATCTGGAAGGGGCTGGAAGAAAGCAGCGCAAGGAATGAACCGAGAGCACCCAAAGCCGCGTTACCCCGGCCCCGCTGCTCCGCATCACACCTGGGCCCAGCCGGAGCGGCCCCGCCGCTGCGGCCCGCACGGCCCAGCGTACGGAGCGCGCCGCCACCGCGGCCATGGGTGCCGCCATCTTGCCCGCCGCGGGGCACGCCGGGAGCAGGAGCGCCGCCCGCTCTCATTGGTGCAGAGAGGAGGAGGAGAGAGGAAGAGCGCGGGAGCAGCGCGCCGCTGCCCGCCGCGGGGGAGTGTGGGAAGGAAGCGGGATAGGAGGGGCCGGGGCAGGGTGTGCCCCCTGCTGGCCCCACAACGCGGTGCAGGGCGGTGGGAGCCTCCAGTGGTCCCGGTGCCCCCCCTTCACCTCCCGGGGCTCCCAGTGCCCCCAGCACACAGCCCAGTGAGCTCCGGTGCCCTCTGGAGCACACCCCGGTGCACACAGTGCACCCCACAACACGTCCCAGTGTGTCCCAGTGCTCCCTACAGCACTCCCCAGCCCATCCCAGTGCTCCCCAGGATGCCCGGGACGCCCCCACAACACACCCCACACATCCACTACTCCTCCGTGCTCCCCAATAAGCCCCAGTGCTCCCAGTTCCCCTCTTCAATGCATCCCTGTGCATCCCAGTGCTCCCGCTGCAGTACACCCCAGTGCTCCCCAAGTCTCCCCAGTCCCCACAACGTGCCCCCCAGTTCTCCCATTGAAATACACCCAAATGCACCCCAAGGTTCTTCATCCCACCCACACCCAAATGCACTCCCTGAGCCTCCCAGTGCTCCCAGTGACCCTGCCCCAGGCCCAGAGCCCCCAGTGGACACGGTGAAGAAGAAGAGCCAGATCCATGGTGCTGTAACCCCCTTTATTGCCCCGTGTCCCATCCCGGGGCTCCATTGCCATGTCCATGCCATGTCCATGCCACGTTGTGCCACGTCCGTGCCGCGTGCCTGGCCGTCAGCAGAACCGTTACCATTACTAAACTCAGTAATGGTAACGGTTTCCCCGCCGGCCGCAGGTCCTTGGCTGCACCCATGGTACCCCCATCCCATCCTCCCCACCCATTACCCCCCCCCCCCCCCCCCATCCCATGTTCCACATCCCAGCCCCACACGCATCCCCCATCCCTCCATGCCCGCGGTGCTGGTCCTGGGCCGGTCGGTGCGTCAGCGGTGGTGCAGCGCAGGGGAGTACATCATCTATACTGTAGTGTCTCATAGTGAACTTACAGTATACGATGATATCCTGCCCGGGGCGGCGCGTGGTGTGTGCCATGGGGCGAGCAGCAAGCACAGCCTGTGGGGGGGACACACAGAGAACTGTTAGAGACACCACCTCCCCACCCAGCATTCCCATTGTGCCATCCCTATCCCCCTGGTCCCACTGCATGGTGGAAGCTCCAGTGTCCTCCCTAACCTTGAATCCCCCAAGCCCTTCTTTATCCACCCCAATCCCACCATCCTGGAGCAGGATGGAGGTTCTTGATGCCTTCCCCATCCCAATAGCCCCCCTACCCCTTCCTTGTCCCCCCAGTCCCATCGCCCCAGAGCGGAGCAGCAGCTCCCAGTAGGTGGTACCTACCCCTGGGGGTGTCACTGTGGCTTTGGGGGGTGCTGGCTCTGCACCCGCCTTATAAAACCTGCTCTGCCTCATCTGCATATCTCACATCTGCACTGCACAGCTGGACGGCGCCCTTAACCCCTTCATGCCCGCCGGGGGGGGGACGGGACACACAGCCCTAAACAGCTCCCACCCAGCCTGGCGTAGCCTATGGGGTTCTTGAGGATGGGGGGGGTCTTCAGGGTGACACCCCCCATGCCAGAGGCATTATGGACACCAGGATGGTGCGGGGACCCCAAACTGGGAGCTACCCATTGCAGACTGGTTCCCAGCTGTTGGACATGCATCGGGGACATGGGAACTCCATGGGGATGGGGCCCAGGGTGATGATGGTGGGAACAACACATGTGTGCAGGGGGTCCCCCTAACATGGATGTGAGTGTGAGGGCCCTGTGTCCCCCTGGGGTGAGTGGCCTTCAAAGTACCACATGTGCTGCCATGAGGGACATGGCCCCTTGCAGTGTGTGTGTCCCCCCCAAAAGATGGGCCCCCAGCCTGCAGGGGCACGTCCCATAGCAGTACATGTCCCTTGTCTTATGTGCCTCCTTCCCAAGGGGATGTGCTCCCTGGAGGGATGTCCCTTTGTGTCCCCATAGGACATTCCCCCCAGCCATATGTGTCCCCAAGGGTACTGTGTCACCTCACTGCGCATGACCCTGGTCATACTTGTCCCCATTGCAACCACTGGCCATAGGTGTCCCCCTAGCCATAGGTGTCCCCCATCCCCATTGTGGGGGACCCCCAGTGTGTGTCCCCCCCGTGCCATTGCGCCCCGTTGTTTGCTCCAGGACACGCTGCTGTTCCTGGAAGCTGCCTGCAGGGAGGTGATAGCCCCCTGCCAGGACCCGCATGGGGACCCCGATAAGCAGCAGTGTCCGGCTATCGGGGACCCTGCCCTGACACACGGGCTGTCCCCAGGCCCGCTGCTGCCTCTGGGTGACAGGAACAGGGGCAGCATCACCCACATCGCCTCCCACCCTGGCCTGGCCAGGCCGTGGCAGGAGGTGGCACAAGGTGAATGAAGCCCCAGCTTCAGCCTCTCCCCAGGCATCAGGATGCTGGGAGCTGGGGGGCTGAAAGGGACGCCCCCCCCCCTCGTGTTCAGCCCCTGCTGTCACCCAGAGGTGTCTGGGGGGGGCTGCAGAGCTCCCCAGAGTGTGGCACAGGACCCCAGCACATAAACCAGGACAAAGGCAAAGTGCCATGTGGGATTGTCCCCATCCCAGCCAGCCCGGGTGCCTGTGGGTACCCAAACACAGCCCTGTGCTGGAGAGCTGCACCCCATGGGGCAGAGGGGCCCCAGTGTCCCCAGGGTCTGTACCATGGAGCTGATGTGGGACCCCTGGGTGCTGCTGCAGGCCTCCCGCAGCCGTGCTCCAGGCAGTGCATGTGGCTGCAGATAAGAGCATGGGGGCTGCAGAGCTGTCCCCACCCCACCTATCTGCAGGGCCACCCTGCTGCAGGGTGCAAGGGACGGGGCCCTTTGTCCTGCCTGCGCCCCTGCTCAGAACAGGGGGGTCTTGAGGAACCCCCTTTGCCGCAGGGAGAGCAGTGGAGCAAAGTCCCCCCATGGCTGCTGTCACTGCTCCTGTGTGCAGGAAGGACAGGGACCCCCCGAGCCACCCCAGTGTCCCTCAGCACAGGGTGTATGAGCCTGGGACACGGTGGTAGCACAAGGTGGTGCCACCAGCCTGGCTGCACCAGCCCTGCTCCAAACCCTGGGGTGCTGCTGGTTGTGGGGTGCCCCCACAGTGACCAGCTCCTGGGTTGACAAAGGTGATGCTGTGGAGCTCATCACCACCTTCAACCATATGGGAGCAGGACAAGGCTCGACCCTCACCAAGAGCAGCCCCAGGCATGGGGCAACGAGCCCATGGGGACACGGTGACCTTATGGAGAGCACAAGGCCATGGGAGCTGTGGAGCAGCATGAGCTGGGACCTAACTTCCATGCACCCCTCATCCCAGTGGGACACCCATCTGCTCCAGCCCCCGTGGCGCAGCGGGTCAAGCACCAGTGCTGGGGATATGGGTGCCATGGTATGAGGGGAGATGGGTGCAGGCGGCACAAGACAGAGCCAAGGGACACGGTGACAAGGCTTTATTATCATCCAGCAGCGAGGGTGGCAGGGACACAGCCATGCACAGCACAGGCAGATAGGGCACAACGCCCGGCACACCTGCCAGCACCACCACACACAGGGGGCTGATAACACCATCCCTCCCCACCCCGATGGCAGGGAGGGGGACAGGGTGCCACCAGCCCCACAGCACCCACCTGTGACCATAGGTCACTCCTGCCAAAGGGAATGGCCAGAAAGGGGCATTGACAGGAGGTGGAGGGGACCCGAGTCCCTGCGCTCACCCTATGGCAATGTGAGGGACCCAGCACCCCACAGCTGGCTTCACACAAGGGTTTGGCAGCAGCCACACAAGGGTTTGGCAACAGCCACACAAGGGTTTGGCAACAGCCACACTGAACACAGGCATGGAAGGGACAGGGGCCAGCGCAGGGCCCTCTATGGGGCACGGACAGGGGACAACCTCTTTCACATTGTCACTCAGGGCAGCAAAGCCACTGGCCTTAAAGGCAAGGGGACTGAGCGAGGTAGGGGCTTCTGCACTGCCTGCACTGAGAACCAGCCCTGGCTGCTGGTCCCTGCCCCACTGCAGTGCCTGCCTGGTCCCCAACCTCCCTCTAACCCAGGAGCTGTGGGGAACAAGATATGGGGCGCCTGGGCACAGCCACCACAGTGGTTTCACCTCCCTCTCGGGGCACAGGGTGGCTTTGGCACAGTGCTACCTTTTGGCATTCCTGGTGCTGGGGCCTCACCAAGTCTGGCCCAGGCCAGGGCTTGGTTGGGCTCTCCCCACTCCAGATCCCAGGAGGAAACTTCCTTGAGGAAAGGCAGCATGGGCCTGGGCACCGTGATCATTGCCACCTCTGGGAAGCCAAGCCAGCACTGCAGAGGTCCCGAGACGCTCCAACAGGGAAAGCCACAGGAACAGGCTATGGGCAGAGGCCGGGGTTGGGCAGTGCCCAAGGAGGAGGACAGGGAGCCAAGAGGAGATGGGTCCTGGCTGTTCTCTTCCTCCAGCTCCGCATCCCACAGAGCCTCTGCTCCGAGGACAGAGAACAGCAAGGCACTGGGATTGCAACACCAGACAAGCTGCCAGTTGTAGCTGGGGCTTGGATCCAAACCCCAGCCTGGTACAAGAACAGGTAACTACAAAATAAATCCCCCCACCCCGAGCTTGGTAATAAAAAGAGCAGCTGATCGGACATGCAACCTTCTGGCCCTACAAAATAAGGCACCAGAGCTTCGAAATGAAACCCTGATTGTCTTTGATATAAAAGGAATTCCCACGTGTTGAAGGCAGTTGATGTCTGAGTGCATTAACAGGGAGTGATCTTCACTAGCTTTGGCTTGGCCAGCCTCATGCCTGGGCTCCGGTGGCTTTCTGGATGAGGGGAATCTGCAGGAGGGGAAAAGAAGCTGTTAGGGCTGGAAAAGGGAGAGGCAGGAAGCTCCCTGC